AGAGCTGCTAAAAGTATAAACAACTGTGTTAAATCATTTTCATTTATTCAGAAGCCACACCGTTAGGGTGGACCAAGTAGGATCAGTTGGACCCACCCCTCAAATCAGGGAAAAAAAGAGAATGCAGTTGTAGGCCGCAATTGGAGGAGCCTTTGGTGACAAATTTGGCCTTTGCAGGATACAGCCCCTAAATTTGGACACAGCTAATGTCCATTAGCTATGGCAGCCATCTTGAATTAGACTGAATTTATTCAGTTGTAGATGTCCAGCCAATTATTTCTTCCTGGGTGTTTCATAAAAAAATTAAATTGTCAAATGGTTCCAGCCTGCTACCCAGGACACACACATTTTTAGCAACGGGTGCTAATTTCAAACATTTAAATTCTTAATGTTCTTCTTTAAAGATGTAAACAGTGGTGGGCAGCGCTAATCTAAACATTAGTTGCACTAACCCTAAAGCACTAACTCAAATATTTAGGTTCCCTAGTTCTAAAGCACCAACGCACTGAAAAATTTAGCAAAAGCTAATTCGAAAGCACTAATATAATCCATTTTACACACAAAACATTCTTTAGAGTCAACATGAGACAATATTTACTGTGTGCAGAATGTTGTCACTTGGTGCTCTTGGCGGCCCAAATGGGAGTCACCTGCAGGCCACATTTGGCCCGTGGGCCTTGAGTTTGACATGTGACCTTATAGATAAGTGACACACAAAATGCAGGCAGCTTTCACCCTCAACTGTGAACAATAATGTTGATCAATAACATTTAGACCTCAGTTAGTGCTTTAAATTGAGCCCATACATTTAGCAAATGCTAATCCACTAATGTTTTTTAAAAAATAGCAAAAGCCCTAAAGCACTAATCAAGAAATTAGCTCCCCTATTAGTGCTTTAGGGGAACTGTGCCCACCACTGGATGTAAAGGCAGACTGTTGATGGCTACAACCTTCAGGATGTTGTCCATGTTGGCCATGCTAACATGATTGTGTTAAGGTGGACTGATAAGGTTACAAATAACAAGCAGAGACAGAATATGCTGAGTTAAGGGAAAGACTAAAGCAGCGGGGACTGAACACATGTCACACRTAATGATCCTTTAGCTAATAAACGCAGGACAAACAGTACAGCAATGGTAATGCGCTCACATTTTTACGATTAGGTGTATAAGCATATTTCAAAAGATAAAATGGAAAATATTACGTTTGTGCATTAGCTGCTGAATTTTATGCCCCTTTAAATGGGAATTATTTATTCTACTGAAAGCTGACGCTTCTCTTAACAAGCCACCGCTGTTGTGGCAGCTCATTACCATAGTGATAATGAGAGATAAAAAAGGTTGCCGGAGTCAGCACGTTTTTTTTTTCTTTCTTCCTCTTTACACAGTCAGAACAGCAAGTTTAAGTGCGAGTGTGACTGCGAGAGCCACAGAGTTACAGAAAGTTTGGTTTTGAAAGAACAAATTGACTCGGAGCTAAAACTGAAGACTAGATTTTCAGCTGGGGTCATTCTCAATTCTTTATTTAAGTGAGTGGGTGTGTGTTATTGTTTGTTTGTTTTTTGTTTTTTTTAATTAAGTCCTGTGTAATTACATAAAACTGTCACAAAAGGTCAGTTTTAAAAGACAAAAAAATTGGAGTTTAAAGCAGCCTCATTCAGAGTCATTTGCACTTTATAAACGTCGCACAGTTGTGGTTGGTTGATTTTTTATTTTGATATTTTTGTAGTAACAATGCTTCTTGGTAATAAATCTTATAGAGTCGGAAAGCTTGTTTTATTTTTTTGCCCCCGTTTGATGCCTCATTTTCAGGAAATTGCATTTGTAGGTTGAGCAGCAGAGCATGTGGTTTGTGCTCATTAAAAAAGACAAATCCCAACAATGTTTTGTGTTCAGTGGGGTTGGGATCAGGACTAAAGGCAGGCTGTTCCATCCTCTCCGCTTCCAAATTGGGAAGGTAGTCTCTGATAAGTCCCTCTCGGTGGGAGCGAGCATTTTCACATGTGAGGATAAATGTCAATCCCGGTGCCACCTGTCGCTCGCAGGTGCTGACAATCAGGAGCCAATCATGCACCGGACTTTCAGTGCCCGCGGTACGATGAGCTCAAAATGAGTCAAAAGCAGAATAAGCTTATTGGTTATTGACAAAAGATTTTGGAAGTTGTTCATTGGGCACAAGACATAAAAGCATTTTCTTAAAGGGGGGCTGTGGGGGTGGGGTATTATGTATTTTCCAAGTGCCTAGTTCAATTCTATACCACAATCAATTAACTATGTTACCTTCATTTGTAAATACCAAAAATAAATGTGACTTTGCATCACAGCCTATCTAAAAGACCGTGTCATACTAGACAATTTATGCCAACTTATGAATTTTTTTATGTCTAAATTACTAATACAAGTTATATACTTGACCATTTTGTTAGAATTACATTATGTACATGCCAAAAAGAAGCTTCCTGTTAACGTTTTCAATTTCATCATCAATGTAGACGTCTTTAAAATGTTCATAAGTTGGCATATGTCTAGTGTGACAGCCTTAAACACCTTGAGATTGGCCTCTCTCCTTTAAAGAGTAACTTACCCCAAAATTAACTTTTTTTAAGCTGATAAACTGTCTAGAATGTGTCTAAAATGTTATATAGTACTGTTTCTGTGATAATTTTGATTTTTTTTGTGCGTATTTGTTCAAATCTGTAATATTTGGTCTAAAAACGTCTTTTTGCTGCTCATATGGGTAGAGCAGTGGTACTGCAGGCTAATTTGCATATTGGTTAACGGCTCTCCACGGTGATGTGTCTTCTCCACAGTTTCGTCACAGCGGCTGTGGAAATTTACACATTACTGC